ATTCGAACCCGCGACCAGCAGATTGCGAGTCGAATGCCCTAACCACCTGGCCATGCCGGGCATACCTAAAATAAAGCGCTCCCCGCACTTTGGGGTCGTGGGCGTGCTATTACCTTATATCTTTATTTCTGGAAGATAAATCAATTGTAAGCGTAGTGAAAAACATTATTACACAACCTTTTAACTATTCTTTAAAAACAGCTCTGGAGAAACAGGAGGTTACCAAACAAAGTTGAAAAATTAATCATGTAGGGTTCGTTTTATGAAGATTACTAATTCAATTGTGCGCTAACAGTAAATATAATTTGATATCTAAAAACACGTATGTTTTACCATTTTAAATGGGGTAAGCAGTTCAGTACCTTTAATGCCTTGAATGTTTAAGCGCACTTAGTGGTGTGTTAGTAATATATAACTTTAAAAAACGTACTTCGTAAGTTTTCGCCTACTATGTTTGCCAGTGAAACAGTATATTGTCAGTTTTGAATGTAGTGCCGAAACTGGCACGTATTCAAAGTAAACTGGGGATTTGCAGACTTTTACTTCTTCTTTTTTCTCTCCCGTGTATCAACACCCTTCTTGAAGGTGTCAGTTTAAACCTTAACTACGGTTGTTAAGTGCTAGAGATGACATGCTGTTAGCGATTTACAAGGTAAGACTACCGAACCGCGGAGAAAATTCGCAGTGCCTGAGTGCATATCTTCTTCCTCACTCCGTAGATGTTTTGGTGATGTGGTCTTTTCTTTTCTTTAGGGGGGGGGGGGAGGGAGTTCATTGTCATACGGTGTTAGCTGAAATTTCCAGTATTTTAATTTTGTTTTTACACTGTTGGTATTTTATAACATTAAAATGTGGAGCTTGTTAATTATGAGAAAGATTTACTTGTCCTGCGATGGCTGATTCGATAGTTACTCTATAACAATTTTTACATTGTTTGCATTTGAATTGCTGTCATATTTTATATCAAAAACTGAATATATTCTAGCGTGGATTTACTTCACAAAAATTAAACACTTAAATCAAAGAGTAAAAAGTATGAGTTTCTTTATGACTTCTTCTGTCTTCTATCTTACTATCGCTGATGATAATCTGCCGAACACTTCTTTGTCTTTCTCAGGCTATAATCCACTATTTTTTTTATTGAAATTATGTTTGTCTTCCCCAGCCTGCAGTGTAGTATCCAATTACTTCTCATAGTGTTTTGGAAAACTTCCGTTTGTCTTGATCAAGCTGTAATACAGTGTACAAATAGTTTTGGATATGGTTTGGCTGTTGTTAAGCAGAAAGCCACAAATGGGCTATCTGTGCTCTGCCCACTAAGTGTATCGAAACCAGATTTTTAGCGTCTTAAGCTAGCAGACGTACCGCTGAGCCACTAAGAGGATATTTATGGCAATGTTCAGATTGTTATTTAGTTACAATTAGAGCCGGGTGTGACCTAATGGTTAGCATGCATGGACTGTGAATATGAGCATTCAGAGCAGGCGTTATGCAGTTTTTGGCTGTGGGTGAACTACAATAAGAGTAGAGGTTAAATCACATTATTCGGTGAGACAAGAGTAGTTCAAAAAGTTCTAAAATAAATAATATAAAGTTCTAAGTATTAACTTATGTGTAAAAACAAACAAACTTTTAATGGATATACTTTCCTGTTCGATGTAACAGCGAAAGATGATTTTTCTTCGACTACAGTAACGCTAACAACCCGTAATCTATGTCATAGAATAATGACAGTTAGTTACGTGAAGCTGAGCAGGTGATAATGGTTGTGTATAAGGTCAAGTTCAGTACATTTGCATTTATATAACAGGCTTTTTTATTATTTGTGATAATTTTAACACGACACAATTACATGTATTAATACAAAATATTGTTTCCATAACAACAATTGTTATGGTGTGACGGCCTTTTACAAGCTAACAAAGCATTAATATATTCATTATACTTGTCATAATAATGCTAACAACCAGCTTGTAAAATGCGTTCATACCATAACAAGTGTTGATGTAACAAATGTTGTTGTTGTATATAAATAATATTCGATTGCTTAATCTGTCTGTTGTATCCCAGCCGGTCTGAAGAGCTCTGGACTGAGAGAAACGCATCGTTAACAATGGATATGACGAATATAGTGTGATTGAAATACTACGAATTCACATTCTTCTAATTCTTGCAAGTCCCCGAGGGACTTGATTAAAAATGTAGTGTTAAAAATATAATAGGCCTAACATTATGTCTTATGACAAGTATAATTTATTATTGCTACAGTTTCATCAAATGGGTAAAATCAGGACCGACGTTTTGACATGTGTATTTTTCACTGTTGCATAACTCGAAACGTTGACCACCATAAATTTTTATATCTAATCTTATTATAACTGTATCTTTAGATATGTTTTGTCTTTTTGACCAACACTAAAAAACTTGAAATTGCTATCGGATAGAAAAAAATAAGTTGAGCTCATGAAAAACGATGTATTGTTTCCAAAAGTGACACATAGTTAAATCAAGTTATATCAGCACTTTATTTAACAATAGCCCCCAGTGGCACAGCGGTATGTCTGCGGACATACAACTCTAGAATCCAGGTTTCGATACCCGTGGTGGACAGAGCACAGATAGCCCATTGTGTAACAATTCTAGAATCCAGGTTTCGATACCCATGGTGGACAGAGCACAGATAGCCCATTGTGTAGGTTTGTGCTTAATTAAAAACAAACAAACAATTTATCAATATTAAATCTTGCCCCCAGTGGCACAGCGATATGTTTGCGGACTTACGCTGCTAGAAACCGGGTTTCGATACTCGTGATGGAAAGAGTACAGATAGCTCAATGTGAAGCTTTGTGATTAACTACAAATAAACAAACAAACAAGACAACCACTTTTTAACTTATTCTAAATTCATAGGGAATACCGTTGTTCTCTTGCACTTATCGCTTGAAAGTTGGTGTTTTGTGCCCTCATTTTCAAACCATCAGTAACACAAAATAAAAAATATCTTTGGATATGAACTGTTCTTACTGTGTTGATTTCTGTTTAAAAGCTGCGAAAACGTTGAGAAAATGCATAGGATAAAATAGGTGGCAGTTAAGCTTACTGTTCATATAAAAAGAGAAAAGTGGCAAGGACAACGGTTTTCCAATTACCACAACCTTTGTTAAGCCATCTGTCTTAATCTAGAGCTAAACAACATTACCTGACAGGCAGACTGTTACTGTTCTGCTTTTCTATCTAAATAAAAACAAACGGTGGGTGTACAATACGTAAGCTTGATATATATGAACAGCTGGAAGACTGAACTGTTTTTTACTGCGCAGCAGAACACGTGGTCGTCTTTTAGGAAAGACCAGGATGTGATGATAAAATATATATTTCCCAGAACATCATCAATTCCGGATATTGGGATATATTATTCTCGCAATTTAGCTTAACTACAAGGTAAACGTTGTAAGTTTCAATGGTAGAAAGATGACACTGCTCATCCAACTTAACTCATGTATATATATATATATATAAACGTGTGTTATTGTTTGTGCACCTTCGAAGGGCACATAAGGTTTATATATATATATAACACAATGAAAGAAAGCCTGTGGTTTATACAATGTTTGTATAATTCAATAAAGATTGTGCTAGTGAATTGTCAGAATTTAAACCGTCAACAGGCTTCTAAGGAAGGATGATTAAGTTGAAAGATTTAACCCTTATTCAAAAAAAATTCCGAAGTTAAACAGTAGTTAGTGCCAACAAGTTAAAAACAATGAGTTCAGTTCATTAAGTAACTTCTTTGGAAAGAGGCACAGGAGAATGAAACTTAAAATAAATACATATATTTATTTATTTTCCACATAAAAGTAAAATAACATTAATTAATGTTCCTAATTGCAGTTGTTATTCGAAAAGCACTTCTCATCTTTTAACTAAAACCTGTTTGTACTCCCACAAAGATGATTATGTAGGTGTATAGTGTTAAAAATATCTGAAAAATGTAGCTAACATACGGACGGAAGTGAGAGATAATTCAACAGTTTATGTTTCGTATTCCTGTGCCACTTAAGTAGCTGAAAGATAATTATATGTCTTTAATTGGAATACAGCCAAATGTATGGGGTGTCAGAGACATGCGTTTCAAATTGTAAAATCAGCTAGAAAAAAAAAACATTAGAAGGGCATGTATTTTTTTTATTGTGTTTGAGAACTCGGAGTTCACGGCGACATGTTACCCTGATGTTGAGGAACACAATGATTATTGAACTTTACTGTGTCTGAGAACTCGGAATTCACGGCGACATGTTACACTGATATTGAGGAACACAATGATTATTGAACTTTACTGTGCCTGAGAACTCGGAATTCACGGCGACATGTTACACTAATGTTGAAGAACACAATGATTATTGAACTTTACTGTGTCTGAGAACTCGGAATTCACGGCGACATGTTACACTGATGTTGAAGAACACAATGATCATTGAACTTTACTGTGCCTGAGAACTTCCTGTTATGATAATCCAATAAGCTTATAGTAATGATAAAAATGACGCAAGACTGCAAACAAGAGTGATCCAGTAAGCTGGTTCATTAATGTACCAGTTACAGCTATCAAGAAATGGATGTAAATACATGACACAAGTCGATCAGCTGTGTTCATAAATTACTGAAGTGTCATATCTAAGGGCCAATTACAGCGCTGAGTGGTGGTTAATAAGCTGTCATCAACCTCCAAATATTACAACATGGAATGAACCTGGATCATAAGCAAGGACAGTCATGTGGCTCAAAAATTAATGACTGGAAGAAATTAAAGTTCCAAGCCTTATGAGCTATTGGATACTATATTCTGACTAAAGGTATGAACTGCATCTTTATGACTACAGCTCTATTAATAGGAGTTAAGACAGCTAGTGTCAGTAGATAAAATGTCTAATATATCGACAGTTTTCACAAGGTGATGATTAGATGTTCAAAAACATGGACATAGTCAAGATGGATTTGATAACTTTTACTTTTTGAAGCAAACAAATGATCTGCTCCAAGCTGGACCATCCATTGTTTTGCAAGAATCCTCACTTGATTTAAAAGAGATATAAGAGTTCTATAAAGCATGTTGCTAGAATCTTTGCTAGGTTTCTGAGCTATCAAGTGATGTTTACCATGCAATGTGTATTTTATATTGCATGTTTTTCACTTGATTATCAGGAATTAAGATGTCTGGAGTAAGAAGATATAATACCTAGTATGTCAACAGTTTGACACAATGGAGGATAGCTGGCAGAAGTTCGAAAACCCGACAAAATATGGAAGTAGCATTCCTTGCTTTCTGGGCTGTTGGGTGGTGTAGCCTGACAAAATATGGAAGTAGCATTCCTTGCTTTCTGGGCTGTTGGGTGGTGTAGCCTGACAAAATATGGAAGTAGCATTCCTTGCTTTCTGGGCTGTTGGGTGGTGTAGCCTGACAAAATATGGAAGTAGCATTCCTTGCTTTCTGAGCTATTGGGTGGTGTAGCCTGACAATTATATGAACTGCCTTTTTATGACTAGTACTCAATTATTATAATCAATTAAGTCAACTTGGATGATTAGATATCATACCTAGCAGGCCAACAGCTTGCTCAACTAAAATAGCAGGCCAACAGCTTGCTCAACTAAAACTAGTTGCTAAAAGCTGGAAAACCCAGTTGAAAAAATGTGTAAACCTTGTAGTCCAAGTTATTTAGTGATTTTCTGAGTCAAAATGTTGTCACATTTCAAGAGAATTACTTTCTTGATCTAGCTGAGTGGCAGAAGCTATACATAATATACGATCTAGCCGAGTGGCAGAAGCTATACATAATATACGATCTAGCTGAGTGGCAGAAGCTATACATAATATACGATCTAGCTGAGTGGCAGAAGCTATACATAATATACGATCTAGCTGAGTGGCAGAAGCTATACATAATATACGATCTAGCTGAGTGGCAGAAGCTATACATAATATACTGCACAACCCGCACTGGATTCACCTTAGAACACCTTGTTGCATATATATATATAGCTTTCACTTATGGACGTTAATTTTGGCTCCAAGAACCCTATCTAAAATATCTTACTTTAACTGCATTATGCCAGTAATGATTCATTTCGTAATGTCCAAAATGAAAAACTTGAGAGTTTAAAAGCTCTAGAAGATGGAACATTACAGATCACAGTTTTTCAGCCTTAACTTGTGGAAAGTAACCCGAGATGGCTACTGAATTAATTCGCTGACATGCCTGTGATAATCTGTTATAAGCTACTGATGTGTTTATAATATTTTATGGTGATATACGTGTATGGAATGTTACGTATATGAGCGCATATGTGTGTGTGCGTTCACATATGTGTATGAACATCACATAAGGTCATTCATGAGTGTTATATAACTTGACTGGATCAACTACAGAGGACACGAATATTAGGCAACATGTTCATGGAAATAAAGGATTTGACCTGATTACTCAAACTTGGCAATATAAAGTTATTTTCATTTATACTGGTGAGAAAAAGTTTCAATTTTGCCATTGAAATGATCAACAGGTATAGTATATGTATTGAAAGATAAGAGTAACAGTAACTCCCTATAGTCAAGATAGAAATCGCAGTTTCACCTGTGGTTTTTCGAGTAGTACAACAGTATGTCTGAAAGAAAACATAATTTTAAACTGTGATTTATGGTCAAAATAGTACAGAATATTTTTATTGCTTAGAATCAAAATATTTGAGTGAGTGAAGTTATAAATAGTATATGAAATTCTCGAACAGTAGCTTAAACTGTTTGCCTGATATCAATTTTCATGCAATTTACACTTATTCAAGCTTTCTAAAAATACCATTTTTGGTGTACTTTTTCTTTATATATATATATATCGTCTTCAAAGCTACTTATTTATTTTAACAGTTTGATGAATACTAAATTTTAATGCTTCGTAATAGCTTTGACCCC